CAACCGTGCTTCGCCTGTGTTGATATTACAGTCAATGCAGTGCCATGTCTCATGGGAGGATTTGCAGCCGTGTTAAAATTAACACTTTCTGCCAACGAGACTCGTCGTTTTGTCACGACAGAGATGGTAAATATTTGCACCGTTTTGCACACATTGACCACATTACTCGATTGTCATTGGTTGATTATAATCGAATGTTTTGTCTCCTATGCCATCACCTGTTTGCAATTATTGTCTGGCTGGGTTATGACACTCGCTGTGGCTGGGGTACGACTAAATATTGTGCTGTGCTTTCCTAGAAATTATAGCGACTGAAATGTAATTACAAATTCTGTAATGTAATTGCGATTGTCAGTTTCCTTTTAAACCATTGTAACTGCGGTTTCCACAAAAGTCCCGTAGATAATTAGGTTGCAAAATTCCACTATCCCATATGCGAAGGTATGGGAGTTAACACGTTGTATTGACAATTGTATTTAATCACTGCCACATTCACTAAATGCTCCATTACATGTGTAGTGAGTCCAACTGAGTCACAGACGTTACTCTTTAGAGGCAACACATTTATTGTAACACGTCAATACAAAGGGGTAACTGCCCCTTTACCAGATACAGCCTAGGGTGGTGACCACCTAGCTAACTACACTATACGTAGGAGTTACAGCTACGAAGGGTCGGACCCTCACTCGGGTCCCCGGCCACGTGTTGATGCCTCGTAGGACGTAGAGCTTCCAGCTTGTAGACGTGGAGCTTCCAGCTTGTAGGATGTAGAGCTTCCAGCTTGTAGACGTAGAGCTTCCAGCTTGTAGGATGTAGAGCTTCCAGCTTGTAGACGTGGAGCTTCCAGCTTGTAGGACGTAGAGCTTCAGCTTGTAGACGTAGAGCTTCCAGCTTGTAGGACGTAGAGCTTCCAGCTTGTAGGACGTAGAGCTTCCAGCTTGTAGGACGTAGAGCTTCCAGCTTGTAGGACGTAGAGCTTCCAGCTTGTAGACGTGGAGCTTCCAGCTTGTAGACGTGGAGCTTCCAGCTTGTAGACGTAGAGCTTCCAGCTTGTTGGACGTAGAACTTCCAGCTTGTAGGACGTAGAGCTTCCAGCTTGTAGACGTAGAACTTCCAGCTTGTAGGACGTAGAGCTTCCAGCGTGTAGACGTGGAGCTTCCAGCTTGTAGACGTAGAACTTCCAGCTTGTAGACGTAGAGCTTCCAGCTTGTAGACGTAGAACTTCCAGCTTGTAGACGTGGAGCTTCCAGCTTGTAGACGTAGAGCTTCCAGCTTGTAGACGTAGAGCTTCTAGCTTGTAGACATAGAGCTTCTAGCTTGTAGGGCGTAGAGCTTCTAGCTTGTAGGGCGTAGAGCTTCTAGCTTGTAGGACGTAGAGCTTCCAGCTTGTAGACGTAGAACTTCCAGCTTGTAGACGTGGAGCTTCCAGCTTGTAGACGTGGAGCTTCCAGCTTGTAGGACGTAGAGCTTCCAGCTTGTAGGACGTAGAGCTTCCAGCTTGTAGACGTAGAGCTTCCAGCTTGTAGGACGTAGAGCTTCCAGCTTGTAGACGTTGAGCTTCCAGCTTGTAGACGTAGAGCTTCCAGCTTGTAAAACGAAGGGATCCCGGTCCCTCTCAGGGACCCACCTTATATCCCCCTGGGTCGGGGCCAGCTCCGCCCTTGGCCCCGCCCACCTTCTCGAGCGTTCTAGCTCCTCGATCCCTCTCGAGAGCTCTCCCCGGACACGTGATCGCCCCCTAGCCCCCCCCCCACCTGGGGCCCTCTCTGTGGACACTCCGGATCACGTGTCTACGGGGTCAACCAGAGTGCCATGGCCCGAGGCAACCCTGCCCCTGGGCTGACACTCTCTCGCTCCCCCTGGTGGGAGCCCGCACTACACGCTACGCGTGGTGTCCGCGCTATCCCAGCGCTCACCAAGCCCCGCTAGGGCTGGTACTACACCCGTCTACGGGGTGTAACGCGATGACGGTGCACCGCACGCCGTGCTGTGCTAGAGCCGGCCTCACACAGCAACCCACACGGTGCTGTCCGCGACGGAGGAACATCGCACGCCACTGCCCTCCCGGGCCGGCACCGTACAGTGCCACTACACATACATTACTGCAATTGTTGTCACAGAAATTAAGCTTTAAAGTGCAGTGAGCATATTTTAACACCAGACATTTGTTGTTTTCTTCCAAAATGGCAGGTTTCTACTTTCAGTTTTGAGAGCTGTTTCAAATAATCGTATCTGTGGTTTTCGATAAGTACTCTGCTGTCGAGAATGATGTTGCCATACATAGTTTAGCACCAATAACCATGTTCGGTTGCTTGAGGATTACAGCTTTCTACCTGAGTCTGGGGGGAGTGTGATAGCGAAGGATTGTATGTGTACGTGAGTGGGAGATCCTGCAAGTAGTGGTCATTTAAATGTTGCGTTGAACAAGTCCATTTGGCTGCTATGACACCAAGTTCCCAAGTTACTCCTTTCCAAGCAGTTTAAATATATAACCGTGAATATAGCCATTGACTCACTGCAAACATATTTGTGCATGTGGTGCAGGTTGTTATTAGCTGGTAAAGAACCCCAAAAATGTGTCTCAGTTAAACATGCGTAGCTGGGTCTAAGCATGGACCCATTTACACAATTGTAGCGATATTATTGGATATAATTGTATTATAATGAATTAAACATACACCCATAATGTATACATATACACAAAAACACAAGTTGTGTTTTATTTAAATCCAGGTAAGAGCCCGTTGAGATGCAATGTATCTTTGTCATGAAAGACTTTCTATGTTATGTGCATTAAGATTTGTTTAATATACAGTAGTCTATATTGCCCTGTGTACATAAGTGCCAATGAACCAGATACGTTTCACAATATTAGTTAGAGTTTACAATTGTACAAGGTTCTTGAGCCACATGTTTATTCAAACACCAGACGATTCAATGTAGAATAATGCAAGCAATGTTTTAAGGTAGAAGCACATTTTGACAACATAGATATGGGGTTTTATGTCATTATATCACAGAGGTTTCTGGGTATCACCAACATGGTGTTATACATATTCTTGGTTCTTTCGGTAAAGGCACGTTGATGATGACTGCTTGTGTTGCAGTCGAAACGTCGTGAGAATTGTATTGTTTTATATATATTATTATTTATTGTTTCCCTTCAACGTGACTTTACCGAAAGAACCAAGAATATGAATCACTGCAGTCACGAAAGCTTTAAATCAAAATGGTGTTATACACTTTATCTGCTGTGGTGGACTTGCATATTGTGTTTGAATTATCAGTGAAACAATATCCAGCCAGAAAACGTTTGAAGGTGAGTCATTTTTTTGCGTTGGTTGGCGATTATTGGTCACGAAGAACTGTGTTTGAATGGTGCAAATGACTCAAAGAGAGAGCCGTGTAATTTGTCACGGATGATGCACATGTTCATCAACAACCCAATGTTGTGGACTTTCACTAACACAAAATGCGTGTGCCACTCGCTTTTGGACTTCCTTTGGATGAATGCACGTGATTTTACAGCAGGCCTTTTGTTGGGAGTGTTCAAACATTTATGCACGTTGCTTGCTTACTTAAATGGCAATATCTGTAATATAATCTGAAGTAATAATACAGGCTGATTTTGTTTGTTTGTAATATTGTGCTTGTGTAAAACTTTCAACTCAACAAACCAGAATACAAACAATTCCAAACATGCCGTCACACACTGAAAGCTACTGACAAAACCAGCTTTTATCTGTAACAATGGCCAATCATAACCCAGTGATGTCGGTTATTTTACAACCGTGAACAGTGCCCTATAAGTTCTTTCTGGTTTGATTTCCAAAAGATAATTGGGGAAGACATGAATATATATTTATCAATGCATGAACTTTCTTATACCATTGGAGCACTTTGATGAGTGTTCGATATACAGCATGTGAACCAGGATAATACGTTTTCTCATTTGTGACAGTTTAATTCACTTCCTTGAACATATGCTATATGTAAACCATAACTACGTCTATGCTGCTTGGTATATGGGCGTTGCCACAGATGGGAACATTCGACAGTTGCGGGAGAAGGGACATTTGTAAATATGGCACTGGTGTGTGTGTGTGTCCATCTCAAGTGCCATCTCATGGTGTCAACAAATACTTTTGATATTATGCAGTATGAAGCCGTAGAGACGCTGTGCCTTTTCAGTGCCTGTATTACTGCAATACACTGCATTGACAAGGAGAAAGTGCGAGGCAATGTAGAGGGGATATAGCATGTAGGGTGGTGGCAGGGTTGAGATAGCCAGTATTCAAGGTAAAAAAACAACTATTGTACACACAATTATAAAGGATTGTTATGTCTGTATATGACCACTGTTTACGATATGTATGCATAGTGTGTGTGTGTGTTTTTTTTTAAGGCAACGAGCTTAAGTTGAATGGTGTGAACATTTTTGGTAATTTCCTCGGAATGTTATAAACTATTGTAACACCAACTGACAAATATTTCTCGCTCCTTAAATTATATTAGTATTAGGATTATGTTTTTCAAATCAATGCTAGGCTGCCAGGGTTAAAATTATGCCTTCAAAACAATTCATAGAAAAAAACAACGCAACTGCACGTGGTGACATGGTTGTCTGTCAATGCTGGTCGTGATATAGAAACTATTTAACCAGAAATACACTCAATGGGTAAATGTACATCTACAGTACATTAGACAGCACGTGACTTTGTGAATTTGTGTGTGATACACTTTGAGAATCTTGAATTTCTCGACTACGACTAGCTCTCTAATGGAAGTGCATCTATAGATGCTACGAAGAAGAGCCATGTCCCAAAACTATTACAGTATATATCTCCTTTTAAGGCCACGGTGTTATTGACGAATGCGGTTAGGGGTTTTTTTTGTGTATGTGGCGCTTGCTACTAGCCGAGTTTCTGGTAAAGGGCAGTAGGGGTGTGTATGTGTGTGTGTTGGGGGGAGGAGGAGGAGGGAATTATCGTGCATTCCACCTCTTTGGCAACCCGCACGTTCTGACCACGGTCACACACCCACGCAAGCCTCTCCCTCCCCACCACGAAAACCAAACCCCACGCAACCTCTACCACGACCGCCAGCGCACACAACGCACACACCACACACACACAGCCAGCCAGACAGGCAGCAGCAGGCAGGCAGCAGCAGAAGAAGAAGAAGACGTCCCGGCGGTAGGCACAGTCGCCAATGAGTGGCGGCGTTGGGCAGTGCCGGTGGGAATCTGCGCTGCGTCGGGAAGAGAACGAGAAGAAGAAGGAGGAGGAGGAAGAGGAGGAGGAGGATCGCTCGGTCACGAGCCCGGCACAGAACCAACCCCCCCTTCAAAGTTCCCGGCACAGAACCACCCAACCTCTCCCTCCCTCCTTCCTAAAGTTCCCGGCACTTGGCGGCGGAGCTGAGCGGCATCGGGGTCCCGGGGTTTGCGAGCTTGGGTGAGTGGCGAGCGCAAGAGAGAGAGAGCGCGAGAGAGAGAGAGGGCCGTGTGGGTAGTATAGCATGACGAGTGAGCCGAGTGGGTTTTGATTGTTGAGTTCACGTGCGGATCAAGCCGGTGGCTCCCGTAGGCTCCATGCGGATGAAACGGATGTCAATCCAGTGGCTTCTTTCGAGCGATGCCCGGGTTGGTGGCATGTTAAGGGACGCGTTAAAAAAATGTGGAAGCGTTGGGGCTTGTTAAGTTGACGCGTGTACCGTTGACTCGTTTGTATTGTGACAGCAACAGTGGAGGAGGGCATCTACTGGAGGTTCCTTTGCCGGTGCGCTTTAAGTGTTACTTTCAGACGCGCTTGTTCGGCTGTGTTTAATAATTAGCAGGTTATGAGAAGCTGGAATTCCTAGAGCCGAGATCGAGTCAATGGCATGCGTATCACGTATACGCAATTTTACGAGTGTACATCCTGCTTAGACATTGTTTAAAGTTTAAGTAAAAAAAAAACACAATTGTTGTTTTTTTTTAATCCAGATGCGTTGAGGATTAAATGTTTCGTTCACGTCCATGCCTTAAGTTGTTTCGGTCGAGGTTCAGTGGCACAGGTGCTTTAACAGTCACCCACTTAATTCCTCAGATATTAATTATCAGAGGCCAACGTTGCCCCTATCGCATGAATTAAGATACTCATAATTCTGCCCCCAAATGAATGCCAACCCTGCCCTTTACTATAACAAGGGGCATGCTTTGGGATAGTTCGAGAGCCAGCCTTACGTACCCTAGTTTAGCCTCATCACATCACAGTACTGTACATGAACAATACGCTAGTGCAGCCTTCTCAACCTACACACAACCTCAGGTAAACATTACGCAAACCTGACACTTATTTTAAAGGATACAGTTTTTTTTAAATATTTGGGACACCTTTTTTATTGAACGTACGAAGTGTGTTCCGTGTGATATTATCTTTACCTGGTAATGTTCCTGCGGCGTATTCACAAGGTGGTTGGAATTCTAGCCGGTGAAATGTGAACATTGGACTCAAAAGATGGACAAACCCACCCAGTGAAATTTTTTTCAAAAAATGCTACGAAGTGAAAATGTGACGCAAACAAAATCTTAAACCGCCGTTCAAGTGACTTGAAATGCGCTCGGCATCACTCTTCGTGACATTCGCTGTGCTCTTATTCAGTACAGCCGTGTCATTTAACAGTTACTTAGCAGTATTTAGAAATCTACCGTTAAATGGCCCTGTGACATCACGGCCATGCGGAGTAGTGATGGAGCTTGCGAGATGTGGCAACACGAAAACCACACGGGAGGGAGTCTCCTGCCTCTCTGGGAAACCCACTGACTCTTCTCTCATGCTTCTGGCCAACGCGGATTAATGAGTCTGTTTTTATTATTAAGTGCCGGCTCATAAAAAATGCCTAATTTTAATTGGGGGTGGGGGGTGGGGATAACAGCTGCAGTGTTCATTGGATGTTAGACGTAAGTGTACGTTAGCGGGAGGATGCTAATACAAGTGTGAAAACATTTTCTTGGTAAGTTGCGTTAAACTGTTTAGCGACCATGCTAGTGGCGCGTTATGATCGCACATTGCTATGACTACGTACGTTTCAGCCGCGTGAATGGCCTTGTGTAAAATGTTTTCGATGACATGCTGGTATGATTATTTTGGTGTTTGCTTTGGGTGGAACTGCTTGGTAAATAGGAATAGGTAAGGTTTGGATGGTTGTGGGGTCCTGTGGTGAGTTGCAAAATGTTATCAAATTAGCGTAACTAATTTAATTGAATTTTGATTTAAAGCTTTCGTGACTGCAGTAATTCATATTCTTCGTTCTTTCTTATTGTTTTATATGTATTTTATTATTTTATTGTTTCCCTTCAACGTGACTTTACCGAAAGAACTAAGAATATAATTTAATTCAAGTTGCGAATGTCCATATTTAAACCTACCAAACACTTTTTTTTAGGTTATGCCATAATGTTGTCAACTATAGCCAAGGAATTCCTTGTTGACTTGTGCAAATGATTTCTTGAGAGCTTGAGCTATAGACCCATGCACTCCATCTCAGTGTTTAGAACAAAGCTATGCACAGCATACATGTGTTGCCTAGTTCCATGCAATAGATTATAACAGAAATGTGAAAAAAATCCATAAATTCACCCGAGATGAGAAAGTTCCCCAGGGATTTTATTTGCGACACAATGGTGGCTCAAAAATAGCAGGCTTGAGACACTAGACACCAACTGGTGTCTTGCAGCATTTTCGGGACAGGCGGTGGCATAATGATAATCTCTTAACTCATTCTTGGAAGAGATGAAAAGATAGTAATTGAATAGAGGAAGTGATGTCATTGATAACACAAAAAAAATCACCTCTGTTGGGTGTTGGATGTGTTCTCTGTCATTTATAGAGCGGGGACATTCCAGCTCTAAATCTTTACTGTGGATCACCCCAACCTCCTTTGAAGTTTTCACTCCACACACCAAACTTCAGCCAATGGGATATCAGTTGCCCACAGCAGTAACGTTTGATCACCAACGGTGCCCTGCATATCATTGGCTGGGACCTTACTCTGTGAGCGAACCTTGGAAATTAATCTGGGGTGAACCATACATGGTTATGGGCGAGATTATAAGCTTAATGAGCCCTACCAAAATGTGGAATGTTCCATGTAGCCCCCCCCCCTTTCACATAAGCCTGGCTTAGTCTGATCTGTATTGGCCTGTGAAGTGTGATTTACTAAGGTACCACAAAGACGCTGGAAGCTCCAACGTACCAGAAAATAGTGTCCAGGAATGTTGTAATATATTTAAAAACAGTTTTTAAACTACTTGCACATGTAGAACTTAAAGTAATCTACGGACCTACAACACATTTTGGAACTGTTACAAAGAAATACTGCATTGTAATATACGTGCTTCTCTTTACACATTGGCAACTTGAAGTTGCTTTATGGTACACATGGCTATTTTTTTTAAGGATGATGCTGTGCTCTGTACTGTATTTCCAACAGTTTCAAAATTACGTTGAATACAGCGGGGGATAAAAAAAAAACATGCCATACTAGTTGTGTGGTGTTGTGTATCACCATAATCTAGAGCGATGATACTTTTATTTTCATAATTATGGGTTACACAAGGCAAGGCCTTTCCTCTCACAATGTCAGACCCAGCTGGAACCACTAAAATGAATGCATATTTTAGTACGTGTGTTTTACGGTTGTGGACGTGCCTGATAGGACACATCTCAGTCTCATTTAGTACTGGAATTGTACCATCAACAGATTTAGTTTTCATGAACTTACTAAGTACATGCCAATTCAATTTTACTTGTTTATCTTTCACAAAGTTGGATACGTGACGTACACACCTTGCACCTACTGGCCAAACTTTATAACAGGAATGCGTTTTAGGTATATGGTTGGTATGCCGATAGAGTGAGTACATTATGCAGAAAGCAAACTATCAGATACAGTGACTAATACCAACCTTGATGTGGGCTTCCCTCTGATTAGCACGGTTGGCTGCGTACGGTAAACAGTTCAACGAACATACATACATATTAAGTGCATCTGAAAATGTCAGCTTCATGGATGATGATGATGACAAAAGAATGTTCCTCAAGTGATGCCAAACTGGTTCTTGGGTCCAGTGTACACATTGTACACATTAGGCAACTCTCGGCTCCAGTCCTGTTTTCACTCTCAACATTGGCGATTCTTTTTTGTACTCTGTAGCACAAAAGTGATGTGGACATTATACATTACGGAATGCATGCCTCTTTGTAAAACTGCACGTGTACACTCCCCGCACTGTTTTCGTACACAGGCAGTGTTATTATAGTAGGTTTGTGAAAGTGTGCACCAGCCCTCGTGTCCATGAATCCTGGTATTCGTGGGGCGCAGTGGAACTTTGATTCATCCTGTTTTCTGATAATTTATGGACAACGGGGTGACCACGGACGGAGATGGTGTTTCAAAATATGAAGCCTCTCACAGAGGGCTCTTCGCAATTCTGATTTACACAATAACAAAAAGTCATGTGATAATTCCACATCCTGTAATGATTGATATTAAGGTTTAGGGCTTGTAGATACAATGGGCTTTTCATGGAAAATGGGAAAAACAAGGAAAATAAAGTGCCTTATTGATTATCCACTTTGCTGCATACCTTACAGGTAGGAGTTCTACTTTATACATACTGTATACAACTATATTAAAATATGTCATACTGTGATAAAAAATACAGTTCAGTGTAATGGCAACAAAATATGCAGATGCGATTTGCATGTTGTATACATTTTAATAAAGCAAGGTATGCTCTTGCTCACCCAGCAATACAAGTACCATACATAGCTGTGTTGAGAAAATAAAACACAAGTGTTATTGGTGAAAACGTTTGATATGGGATTCCTCCACAGCTGTGTTGACGTCTTGTGCACCAATGCGGGTGCCCGGTGTTGGTGCTGATGGCCGTAGTCATCCTTGCTCCTGCTGTTAGCCAAGCCAGCAGCATCAGCAGCAGGAGGTGGTGGTGGTGGTGTCACTTTGCGATGCTCCGATGGTTCGCCCAGTGGCGGCTTGGGTTGAACATCGACGATCACATTCCATTCTCATTACCCAGAGAAAGAATGCAGCGTTATTGTTGGCAGAAAGGTCGTAACGTCGCCCTCTTGACGCCAAGCGGTCTGCAATGGTTTCTGCTGCTTGGCGCTATTATTAAGGCCACCCACTCCTCCCGGATCATTTGTAAGCTTAACAACAATGTTTAACATTGCTGCAGTCTCGTGGTTTTTATGCCCAGGGGGAAAAAAAAAACAACCGCATGTAAACGCATAGAGACATATACGTTTACATGGGTCGTCCCGACAGTTTTTTGTTCCGTCGCCTGAAGAAGGCCGCTTGTGTTGTGGCCGAAACGTCGTGAGAATTTTATTGTTTTATTTTAGTCTCATTTTTACGTGACTTTACCGAAATAACCCAAGAAGATGAATCCTTGCAGTCACGAAAGCTTTCAATCGTATAGACATACTTTAAACGTATTTACACACAGACATATGAACCTTACGGCTCTCGCAAAATGTCTCCGTGATGCAGTCACTGTTAAGTCTGTTGACGGTCGGCGTTGCGACAATCGACTCATCCCGACGAGCTGTACACTCACGATGCACCACCACTACGGTGCGTTCCGAGCGTTCTGGGTTTCGGAGCAATCGCCCTCGCTGCGTTTCGACATCGCGGAGTGTGGCACCACCGATTTTGGGATTGATTGGTTGCCCCAGCCGCGGAGTTCAGTAACACCCCTGCGAAGAATAGTGTCCCAGAAATAAAATATTTTCATTTGCCTCGGCCCATTTTGTATTATTTGCTATCCCCCGGGGTACTGCCGTATTGAATAAAAAGATTGAATAAAAACCTACTCGTCATTCAGAACTGTGGCGTTCACATTGTAGCATTGCGCATTTCTGTTTGATTTTGCCGAGCCAGTGAAGGGAGTTCTACATTGCTGTTAGGATCTTTAGACTTGAAATCCGATGAGCTATGAAGCTCTTTTTTTCCCACAGACGTCCTATGGCAGTCATTGGAACAGTATACAATACTATATATGTCGACTATATGGGCCACATTCCCATCCCCTGGCAACAGTTGAAACGCATCGTCTTGGCGATATCTCTGTCACAATGAATTAACGGGAGTTTTCCCGTTAATTATAGTGTGCAGTATAATACATGCGGCGAGACGTACATGTATTTCTGAACACTACTGTACTTGGTATTCAATTTAAAAAAAATATATACAGTACATTAATACATACATCCTGTTTAAGTCGAAATTTATACGTTATGACTAAACTACATGTCAGCATTGCTGAGTTTACTTTAGTTTAACGAACATCGATGCTATGGATTTCATTATGTAAATTATATTTTCCATTAATATATAAGTACTGTAGTATGGTCGTTGACGTTTTTTCTACGTACCCTCGTCTGAGTTTTAATAACAGCAAAAACTAATCCCAACGTCCTTTTAACTAAATATTTATCCTGCATTAGCATGTCCCCTCTAGTGCCATGCACAATGCAGTTTGCATGCGTGGCTTCTGTCCTACTGCAATTATTAAACATCAATATTTGTACTCCAGCCAATACTACAGGATAATCTACAGGATCATACTTTCCCACCCACCCACCCACGTACTCAGAATAAATGCGAGGGAGTCTCGTCGTTGGAACCCTGGCTAACGCACAGGCCCAATTAAACTGGCTGTGGGAAAGTGTCTGGGGTGGGAAGCGTTCAAGTGCCCTCTCTGCCGTGCGAGCACGATGCGATTGCAGGGCCCACTGGGCCCTTCTCACAAGTCCGGGCTTGTCCAACGGAGAAGCCATATTGCCCACGTGTGTTATTTCTTTCAATAAGCTACCAGCCATGCAGAAAGGGGGGGGGGGAGCCTTATTTTAACCGTGTGACTGGAAGACTGCTCGCCGCACTCTTGTTTTAGTGCAAAGATGTAGTGTGCAGATAAACTGCTGCAAAAGGTAGACGTTATCTCAAAGAAGCTTTTGTTCAGGAAATGTAAGCGTTACTTCGAATGTGTTGTCACCTTGCATGTGCGCGCGCATCACAGAAACTCATTTAGTCTTAAATTTTAATTTAAAGCTTTCGTGACTGCAGGGATTCATATTCTTGGTTCTTTTGGTAAAGTCACGTAGAAGGGAAACGAGTTGGTGCAATGGAGATCCAGGACAGGTTCAGATATCACTTTCCAGTGAAATTGCGCATGGTCATAACAGGATAAAAAAAAACCCCTTTGCTGGAATCCTACATAGCGCATCACACAAACCACTACAAATCGGCCTCGCACACAAAGATCCCCCGAGATTTACAGGGGTCGGCAACTTTCGGCTCTGGAGCCGCATGCGACTCTTTAAGGACTGCTTCGTGATGTTATGTATTAAGGACCACCATCTCGTATTCACTACTTGCATTGCTGTGGCTATTGAAATATTTGGGGGTTTTTTTTATACCGAATTTGAAAAAAAAATAGCTATTATTTTGGTTACCGACACCTGCCCTCGAAGCTGTATACAAATGATTGGGACAAGGTATTTGAGTATGCCTACACACGCTGTTAGAAGGCCAGCACAACTCACGAAGAGGTGGTGTGGCAAATACCAAGCCCATTGATTATGTTTACACACCACACCAGCTACGGATTTTACGGACTTGAGGAGGGGAGGCTCAAGCCAGGTGAAGACACCACTTGCCACTAATGTTAGCCATGACCAGTACAGGGTCAGTCCTCTACTTGCGATGGAGATGCGTTACGACGACCCCATCGTAAGTCAAAAAATATCGTTAAGTCGAAGATGGCCCTAGCCTACCCAGGAGTCTTAAAGAATGGCAATAATTTAACAAAACAGAGCAATTTACAGTACCGTAATATACTGTATGTATTTATTAATTACAATACTGTATTGCACAGTAAAATGTAAAGTAAAAAACAAGGTAAATTCTTAGCCTACCTATATGAACCGCAATTTAATAGAAAGTTTTTCAGGACACAATCCTATCTGCCATTAAAAAAAAAAACTTTTAACATGCATTGAACGTATCGTACCGTGATAACCCTAAAATGAAATCGCTAAAGCTACGTATCATACACGCATTTAACGTATCGTACCGTGTCATATTGTACTGTACTCGCCAAGATTCGTACGCTGCTGCGTTTGCCTGCCGCGCGAAATTTAAAATATTTAACAATTTTGTCGTATCGCTGTCGCCATCGCAAGATCGAAGTATCGTAAGTCGGACCGTCGTGACTCGGGGACTAATCTGTATTCAGACACTGTATAGGACGCTGGGTTTATCGTGCACTGTGCCAAGGGCACTTCTGCACCCCTCTACACACACACACACACCTGTTTAACCCCTTACATTATTAAAGTGTACCAAAGATAGTAATAAAAAAAACCTCGTGACTTTGATACAAAATGGCCTCTAGCCCGCTTTCACGTATATATTTTTTTATTTAGTTACTCGACGAGGCTGATTGCGTGCGTATGTGTCGGCATGGGCGTTGCAGGCCACGGGGGCTCGGGCTGATGCAGGATGGCGGCCCAGAGGATCCGTGCCGTGCAGGCGGCCGACATGTCCCGCAGTCACTCGGAGGGCGACCTCATCGACTTTGACGCCGACGACGAATTCTCCTCAAAGCGACTCTCCGACAGCATACCCGGTAAGGGCCGCACTCGCGAAAATTGTTTCCGCTAAGGTGGCCGCCGGTCGTGGGATGTGGCCGTGGAATAGTTGGTTCGCGCCACTTGAGCTGCGATCCAGGGGTCACCAGCTCCGATCCGATCTCCTTAAATACGTCCCCAAGCTCTGTCCGCTTGACTATTGCGATTTTTCTTTAAAAAACTTGCAATGACATGCTCCTACAAACATTTCCAAAGAGTTGTACACATTTACACTCTCCAGCATGCCTTGGTAATTCGTTGCAGAAATCGCCAAGCGTCTGTGGGATTTGGCTCGTCGGCCACGTGTGAAATGGAAAGTGTGTTGAGCACCAAGCTGTCCGGTTGCCAAATAAAATAATATCTCTGTAGTGCTCGTCATAATCCGATGCACCATATTACTCATGTGCCGTATTTTGGGCTCATTCTCTAATACGAATATATTTGTTGTTACTGTGAGCAGTTTTCCTATCATTTTGCCGCTTACATATAATTAGCTCATGGCTGCTGATGATGGTGAAGACATGATGAAGACATGTAATGTCTCTTGTAGAATATAATTTTCCCTTGTCTTTTTAAAATAACTGGCAGTGATTTGATATTCTTAGCTCTTTCGGTAAAGTCACGTTGAAGGGAAACAATAAAATAATAAAATATATATAAACTTGACTTTACCGAAAGAGCTAAGAATATGAATTACTGCAGTCACGAAAGCTTTAAATCAAAATTTAACTGGCAGTGGTTCTAAAGTATTTATTAATTACTTTTAAAAAATAATGACTTTTTTCAAATGGAAATCTGCGAATATATTTTAGGTTGCCTGTTATAAATATGGTTGTACAGTATATTAATATTGTCACGGGTGTTGTATTAAGATAACCATTGTCAATTTAAGTGGGGAATTTTCATTATTAAATAAGGAAACTGATCCAATTCATCAAAGCCATACAAGCATATATTGAAGCTGCCTTGATGTGAAGTGCCAAAGGCATCACAGTTAACATCATCACCCAAAAATATTGTTTATTTGAAGTCCGTTCTAAAAATTAAATGTCTGTAGGCAATGAGAAGGCATGTCAGGTATGTTATGAATTAATTTCGATGAAAGCTAAATTATGGTGGCAATGTGTGATAATGAGAAAATATTTAATTGGAATGGTCGGTGGCGAGTTTGTCTGGATGGTGGCAACGATGATGACGAATACGCCGGACGATGCAGAAAAAAACGGTTCACAGCTCAGGGTGGGGACGCCCCTTCACTGTAAAGACCATCGCATGACGGAGCGACCCTCGTGTGTTTCCCGCACAGCGAACGCGTCATCGCCCTTCGCCAAGAGCTCGGTGTGCGAGGTGGTGGCCGTGCGTGACTTCTCGCCGGGCGCCTTCCCCGCGCTGTCCATGCAACGCGGCGACCGCCTCTCCGTGCTCGACACGGCGGGGCCCGAGTGGTGGTACGCGCGCAATCGCCGCTGTGCCGGCTTCATCCCAGCGTCCCACGTGCGCCCGGTCGACGGGGCGGCGCCCCTGCGTCGTGCGCTCGCAGACAGTGGCATGGTGGACTCGGGCGAGGGGGACAGCGTGGAGAGCGAAACGGAGGGGTCCTCCGGCGAGGGGCGGCCTCGTGCAGAGGCGCCCGGCCGCGCGGAAGGCGCCGTCGCGCCGACGGAAGTTTCGCCGGCGGAGCGGCCGACGCTTGCGACCGGCGACGCCGGGGACCGCCACTCCTGCGCCAGTACGGGTGACCTACTGCTGGAGCGCAAGATGGGGAACAACCCGTTTCTGCAGAGCGCTTACATCTCGAACCCATTTCTGAGTGATATTATGACTCCAAGCCCTTCAGACGGTTTCCACAAAGCTGAAAATACGTCTGCCGAAAAACTGTTGTTTGACTTCGATTCCAAAATGGTTCTGAGAAACGGTGTCGTGAGCGCAGACTCTGAACCGCAAAATAACATCGCGTCAAGTGGCATTTACAGTTCCAACGACGTCTTTGCAGTGGACAACTCTGATGCCTTGGTGTGTATGGACTTGAACATGGAAAAACTTCTGAGCCGGCAGATGCGATCTGGCAATGGCCAAAAGCCCAGCAGACACGATAGCGGGAGGAACAACAAACAGAGGTCGCACAGCCTTTCGGAGCTGAGTGCCATGCAAGCCACGCAAGCGGGGCAGGACATGATGGACTTCCTGGACCCACTGGGCAAACCCCTCTCCCAGGACTATGGTTCGCTCCACGACCGAGAGGCCTACCGGACGGCCTGGCTGCAGCAGCGTCAGATGACGCGGTCGTGCCACAACCTGGGCGCCCTGTGCCGCAACCCCGGCTGGGGCCAAACGCAGCCTCTCCAGACCCAGGCTGTGTTCCGGCTGGAAAGCTCGGGGGGCTCCGTGCAGGTACCCGAGACGTCCGTGAAGCTCCACGCGGCGCCTCTGCCGGCGACCTCTCGTCTGGACGATGACGATGGTGCCGGCGTCACCAGGGAGGTCAGACTCAGGGCCCTGCTTGACCCGCCAATCAAGCTGAGCGGAGACATGATGACGGCCGTCAGCCCCGTGGTAGAGGTGCGGCTTGTTGGCCACCCGGTGCTGAACCCACTGATGCTGGAAATGAGGGTGGCGGCTCACGTGAAGGAGGATCCGCTGAGCCAGAAGTGCGCTGAAATTGTGTGCCTGGGTGCAGAAAATCCCGAGGGCCCCTACGCCCTCCTGCCCGAATCCTATGTCCATGGAGACATCATTCGTGTTCAACTGGACAATAAAAGCCATTGTGTCTATGTGGTCGCAGTGGCACAGTTGAAGTGCAATGGTAGTTCACTTCCGTGGGATGCCCCGCAAGATGCGGAGAGCATCAAAGAGGCCCTGGTTAGCCAACCACGTGCAGTATCTGAAACCTCGTCAACGGAGCAGCAGGTTGTTTCACAGATGGCACAGAATGCAAGCGGCAGCCAAAGTTCCCACGCAGGAAAAACAATATGGGATTTCATTCAAAGACAGATGACACTGGCAGTCTACGGGCCAAAGCACCTGCACCCGACCTTCACTCTAGTGCTTGCACTGTTTGGTCACTTCGAGGCTCCATCTACTCTGCCTTCAACAGACACCAACTGGGAAGGCAAAGTGGGAAAGAAAAGCCACCAGCAGCCAATTGGGCTGACTCTTTGGGGGAAACACGAATTCACCTTGAACAGGCCACAGAACGTGGACGTGTCGCTGTTTTCCAGCGAGCAAAATGTGCAGGTCACTGGCTCCAAATCGGGATCCGCCAAGAGCTGCTGCACCGTGCGGGGCTTTCAGCTACGCCTGGGCCGCGTGTGCCGCATGGCATTCCAGCTTTCATATCACGACTCGTCGGTAGGCCTCGCCGCGTTTGCACTGCGGGCGCAGCTGCACACCGACGCCCAGGAGCTGCTTACTCAGTTCAGCGTGACGACTCCACCAGCTACAGCGCCTGGCAAGGTGCCGGCACCGCGGCGCTTTGTCAAACGCAAGGAGCTCGGCAGATCCTTGCTCTCCTCCATCTCCTCGGCGCCACCCTCATTCACGGTGCTCGCACCTCGGTCTGCTGAGCCAGCCACCTTTCAAGAGCATGACTTCGTGATGCCTATGTGTGCCACAGCCCTAAAGACAATCGTGCGCCAGACCAAGTTCATGTACTTTTTGGAGTACAGGAAAGGAGCCACCATTGGGCTGTTGAGCAAGGAGAAGATCCGGGCCAGAGGCCATGCAAAGACCAAGGAGTGGTACGTGGGCTACACGAACGGCTGCGTAGGGCTGGTGCACTGCAAAAACTTGAAGCTGCTACCAGACAACGAGCAGGTGGCTCCATCGGAAGCCCCGCACGTGAACACCGCCACCCTCCTCGAGCTCCTGCTACGCCCCTGCCACTCCCTCAACTTCAGCTGGTCCACAGTGTCCACGAAGGTGGCAGAGGGGCTGGCTGACTGGCGGCCGCTAGCCCGGGTGCTGGGCTACCGCGAGGAGGAGATGGAGGAGAGTTTTGTGGAGGAGGATGTGGACCGAGTGTCTGCCGTCCTGGAGAAGCTCAAGGGTGACTGCGCAGGTGGTGACGGGAAGAGGAGGTGCTTCTTGAAGGAGCTGTTTTCTGTGAGTATGGCCTTGCATTTTCTTTACGTAAGCATGGTGAATCTGAGGTTCCCGGAGAAAACCTATGCATATGAGGCATTAACACTCAAAACTCGACAAACAAGTTACTTGTTTACTGCCACCTGAAAAGCACCATGCTGCTCGCTCTATGGTACTTCATACAATTATGAGGAATGATGACCCACTAACCACTTCGTATCAAGACGATCACAATTGAGTTAACGTGGCCGATCATTAACAGCTCACCCACGGACCTTTTTTCTTAGTGCAATGGCCGATGTGCTTGCCGTTCCCCAGGCCCTGCTGCGCCTGGACCAGCATGCCGTGGTGGTGCGCGTGCTGCTCGACTGCGTGCTGCTCACGGTGTCCGTGGACCTGGGCGCCCGGTGGCGAGAGCTTGCCGCCCACTTGGCCAACGTCACACGGCAGCAGGCCGAGGCCTACGAAGCCCCGCACTGCCAGGACGGGGTCCTCCTGCCTGAGGTCAGCCTCCATGCACAGCAGTGTTTTCATTAATTTCCAGAGGGGCGGCCACTTGCGCCAATATAGACATCCGCGCGAGGGCCCCCCCCGCACATTTGAAACCATTGGGTTTGACAGCACTATGGGGGTGTCTTGACACGTGTGTATTGTCAGGGGCCGCATTAAAGGCCACCACGGGCTGCCAGTGCACCGTGGGTCTTGCAATGAAGAACAATGATATACAGATAGTCCCCGAGTTACGACGGTCCGACTTACGATATTTCGATCTTACAATGGCGATACGACAAAATTAAATAATAATGTAAGGGGTTAAACAGGTGTGCGTGTGTGTGTAGAGGGGTACAGAAGTGCCTTTGGCACAGTGCACGATAAACCCAGCGTCCTATACAGTGTCTGAATACAGATAGTCCCCGAGTTACGACGGTCCGACTTACGATACTTCGATCTTGCGATGGCGACAGCGATACGACAAAGTTGTTAAATATTTTAAATTTCGCGCGGCAGGCAAACGCAGCAGCGTACGAATCTTGGTGAGTACAGTACAATATGACACGGTACGATACGTTAAATGCGTGTATGATACGTAGCTTTAGCGATTTCATTTTAGGGTTATTACGATATGATACGTTCAATGCATGTTAAAAGTTTTTTTTTTTAATGGCAGATAGGATTGTTTCCTGAAAAAACTTTCTACTAAATTGCAGTTCATATAGGTAGGCTAAGAATTTACCTTGTTTTTTTTACTTTACATTTTACCGTGCAATACAGTCTTGTAATTAATAAATACATACAGTATATAGTTTATACAGTACGGTACTGTAAATTGCTCTGTTTTGCTAAATTATCACCATTCTTTAAGACTCCTGGGTAGGCTAGGGTCATCTTCGACTCACGATATTTTTTTGACTTACGATGGGGTCGTCGTTAACGCATTTCCATCGTAAGTAGAGCACTACCCTGTACAGCATCTATGTGCTCTAGGGTTTCCACTGGTCCTGGTTTTGACCAAATCGTTCTCTCTGAGGTAGCTTTCTCCAGTTGGTACTTGTGGTAGCGTAGGAGTTGTGCGAGTATATTTCTAGTTTATGCATCGAGTGAATGTACCACAAGCCTCTCTTGCAAATTAGACCTTTTGTTTCACTGACTGTTCATGTTCTTAGCTCTTTCGGTAAAGTCCCGTGGTGCTAACGTTTTTTTTTATAAATAAATACACCGTTTAAAAATAAATAAATGCAAACCGCCACTTCTTTCAAATGTTTCTTGCCGTTGGTTTTTCACACCTGATGATGACCGTTTGTGTTATGGTCGAAACGTCGTGAGGATTTTTATTGTTTTATATATATTTTATTATTTTATTGTTTCCCTTAAACCTGACTTTACCGAAAGAGCTAAGAATATGAATTACTGCAGTCACGAAAGCTTTAAATCAAAATTTGACTGTTCATGCGTTTTAATATTAAAGGTCAATTCTAGGTTAACCGATTCACAAATGCATGTAATAATTTCAATGCGAATTTCTATTCTGTGTTATGAGAATATGATTGTGCACCTTTATGCAGTTTGTGCTGTCGGCTTCAAACTCTAATATGAGTAAACAATCATTCTCGCACCGAGTGGGTGACATAAAAGAACACACAACCAAAGTCACTTTAGCCCATCCATCCCCATTTGTTGGGCGCACCCTTGCACATGCTGCAAAACGTCATGATGGCAATAAAGCCAACAAGCTCCTGTGCACTGACGTGCCGATTATTAGCCCCCCCCCCCCCCGCCCCCCCGCCCCCATCTCGACCTTCTGGCCGCACCTTACGAAAAGTCTCTTCAAAAGACACCAAACACGGTTTATCCGTTTCTCCGCCCTGTCCATCGTGCGCAGACGGTGTGGAAGCCGGCGTTCGACTTTCTGGTGACGTGGAGCGGGTCGTCGCGCGAGGGCTACTGGGACACACTGCAGGAGATGCACACCGCGCTTGACCGCACGCGTGGCAGCGGGGCGGCGCGCGGGGACCGCGCCCTCACCGGCGTCCTGCTGCTCGCTCACGGCCTGGACACGCTACGAGCGCACGCCTTCCCCGTCGCCGATGGGTGACCCGCTCCTCTTTTTGTCATCGGGCCTTTGCGCTGCTGATGAAGCTTGAGTGAAGTTGTGAAACCTGTTCAGCCTTTGAATTTATGTGTGTTGAACTTCTTTCGCGGCGTTGTATATACACTCACGGCCTGGACACGCTACGAACGCACGCCTTCCCCGTCGCCGATGGGTGACCCGCTCCTCTTTTTGTCATCGGGCCTTTGCGCTGCTGATGAAGCTTGAGTGAAGTTGTGAAACCTGTTCAGGCTTTGAATTTATGCGTGTTGAACTTCTTTCGCGGTGTTTTTTATATATATATAGCCAGCCGTGCTAATCGGGCCGTGCTAAACACCGCAAGGATACATTGATGTGCAAAGTCGATTGATCGATGGATTCAATGCCGTTTAGTTTTGGCGTTGAGACGAGAACCCCCCTTTCCTGCGAATATACAGACTGGAAAAAGTTCGCCACATTTACCTTGAATTCTGCCGACAAGTAGAAAACTGTAAGCCAGTGTTTTAGGCAATAACGTTGAGAATTAAGCCGCTGTTGAAGGCAATGGCCAGAAGAGGAACCATTTCCTAAAATGTTAGTGTATATTTCAGTTAAAAGGCAGTGGTGATGACAATTGTAATGATGAGGTGTTTTCAGTCTGTGCTTGTACACTGCTGCCAACGCAGTTGTCTAAGGTTTATTTGTATGCTTTATTTATTTACTTTATAGCATCCACAGTTCACCTGGATGGTGCATAATTATTATAAACGACTTGTAGTGCCATCTTCGTTTGCTTTGTTCTATCACATTGCAGAATGGTGCTTAACTAACCAGGATGGGCCAAGATTAAAAAGTTAAGCAAAAGGCATAGTCATGGCGTGTTAGCAGAAAACAAGATGTTGCACACTGTTCTTCTGCATTTGATTTAAAGCAAATAAATATATACTCTTTCGTTCTTTCGGTAAAGTCACGTAGGTAGAAATGTTTTATTTAGTTTTATTTGTACCTACGTGACTTTACCGAAAGAACCAAAGAGTATTTATTCCTGCAGTCACGAAAGTTTCAAATCAAGATCAAATGAATAGAAGGAAAATGTTCACATCAACAAAAAAGGAAGATTACACTTAAGTACAGGCCTGCCCGGAAACTTTCTTGAGATTTTGCGATAAGCACTGCCCATGCTGCTATCAATATGTTGACCAGACACAACTTGTCTGCAGATCACATTCCATTCGCCTGCATGGAGGGAGATGTGAACTGTTTTGGAACAGGGAATGTAAATAAATCTGTTTTTTTTAAAGTGAGCAGTTTGCTTATCATCACAGCCATATTAATACTTTATTTAAAGCATAAACCTAACTCATCTGTAAAAAGAGTATAACTGGTGTCATAGGATATTTTTCCTATCTTTTTTTTAAAGATACTTTTTGATCTTTTGTAGTTAAAGAATGAAGCCATATCTTGCATTTACGTGAAAAAGAATCCCACTTTCATTCATGTAAACACAAAGTGTGTGGCTGTTGAAAGATTGCTGATAAAAAAAAACCCTTCAAAGTCAGTCAACATTCAATTGTAATGTTATCTTATTGATGTTAAAGTCATTGTGTTATACAGACCCTATAAATCGGTGTGCAAAAGCTTGCCTATGACCAAAAAGAGAATCCGATTTAAATGAACAAGGTTAAAGTGGATTGAACTGCATGTTGCTTGACATGTAGAACATGAAAACACAGCAGATACCTAAACAGCACAACCGAAAAATAACCTTACATAGCTCGGTTAAAATAAACACATTACCAATTGTAATGACCGAGGCAGTAATTACATTTGCCTCGTTAAAAGTTCCATCACACAAGTCATGAGACACTCGTTCCATTGGCAGGCAATGTTGTCCACTATGGACCTCTAGTGCTTGAGAGCAGTATTGTGTAGGCGTGGCTGGGCTGCTTTTGAGATACACTTTACAGCAGGGGTCCCCAACCCCCGAGCCGCGGACCGGTACCGGTCCGTGACCTGTTAGGAACCGGGCCGCACAGCAGCAGGAGGTGAGAGCGGTGAGTCCGCACGTGACCCGCCCCCATTATTTTATTATTTATCACTTCCGTCCGCGCCTCTTTCCCGCACTGCGCACTCGTCTCAGTCGCAGTGTTGGTAAGCCCACAAGCTCTAACCCCTAGTAGCCACAATGAGTAAGCCCACAAGCTCTAACCCCTAGTAGCCACAATGAGTAAGCCCACAAGCTCTAACCCCTAGTAGCCACAATGAGTAAGCCCACAAGCTCTAACCCCTAGCAGCCACAATGAGTAAGCCCACAAGCTCTAACCCCGAGTAGCCACAATGAGTAAGCCCACAAGCTCTAACCCCTAGTAGCCACAAGGAGTAAGCCCACAAGCTCTAACCCCTAGTAGCCACAATGAGTAAGCCCACAAGCTCTAACCCCTAGTAGCCACAATGAGTAAGCCCACAAGCTCTAACCCCTAGCAGCCACAATGAGTAAGCCCACAAGCTCTAACCCCTAGCAGCCACAATGAGTAAGCCCACAAGCTCTAACCCCTAGTATCCACAATGAGTAAGCCCACAAGCTCTAACCCCTAGTAGCCACAATGAGTAAGCCCACACGCTCTAACCCCGAGTAGCCACAATGAGTAAGCCCACAAGCTCTAACCCCTAGTAGCCACAATGAGTAAGCCCACAAGCTCTAACCCCTAGTAGCCACAATGAGTAAGCCCACAAGCTCTAACCCCTAGCAGCCACAATGAGTAAGCCCACAAGCTCTAACCCCTAGTATCCACAATGAGTAAGCCCACAAGCTCTAACCCCTAGTAGTCACAATGAGTAAGCCCACAAGCTCTAACCCCTAGCAGCCACAATGAGTAAGCCCACAAGCTGTAACCCCTAGCAGCCACAATGAGTAAGCCCATAAGCTCTAACCCCTAGTAGCCACAATGAGTAAGCCCAGAAGCTCTAACCCCTAGTATCCACAATGAGTAAGCCCACAAGCTCTAACCCCTAGTAGCCACAATGAGTAACAAAACAAAGCGTCGCTGGAGAACTTCTTTGAAAAGGGGGAAAGACCCAATGATGAACACCCCCACCCCAGACCGTGAAAAAAATGTGTGTTCCACGACACCGGTCCCTGGCGCCAAAAAGGTTGGGGACCAAGCTGCTATACAGTACATGTAACGTATATTAACTAGTGGACTTTGGACTACTGCTTGTGCAAATATTTGCAGGTCACCTCGTGGGAGTATAACAAATTGGAATTTGTTCTAGAAGGAGGGATACAAGCTGTGTCATTGTGGGCTGAAAGTGTGCCTTTGCTACTGCTGGTGGGATTGCAATAGCTCATGTGAATAAAAACACCTTTCTCACCCATCCTAGACATTTGAGATAATAAGGCTCTGGTTTCCCATGTCTTATTATTATTCTTTGTGATGTGAAGTATCGGTGGTGTCCCAAAAGGGGTGAAAGAAAGCCTCAAGGATTTCTACCCAGCCCATGGTGACGTGACATTTAAAATTAAACGTTTTGTAACGAACACACGACAGCAATTTGAAATTAATTTGTATATATTTAAATGTTGGTCATCTTTCTTACACAGTTACGCTTTTTTTCACTTAGTTTGCTGTCAATCGTATGCCATTTTAATCTTGAAAATGTAAACAAAAGAATCACTTAGCACAACACTCCAGTATATTATCGTTTAATGTTTTATTTAATACAGTCTTTTAATTACATTCTCATTGTGCCGCATGTTCAATTAGCCAGGCACACACATTGTCAGCACGGGGTATGTTTGTTTCACTGAAATTTTAACTATTGGCTTTAGTATGACTGTACTGATGCTTTGCTATTTTCTGAAAACACGCGATTCCTATCTAAATGGCTGAATACATGTCAACATCATTGCTGTATATATTTAAATGTAGCCTTTATCCGATAACTACCAGCAGTACAGGGTGAACATTCAAGTACCGCACTGCATTAGTGTTGGTTGCTAAAAAATGAACTTGAGTCCACAACATTGCGCAGTCCCACTTCTGGGGGCATGATAACTTCATTCTCCTCGGCCAGGTGTCGGCAAACTGCGGCTCTCTAAGGAGCCCTTCGCGACATTATTTATTAAGAACCCAGCGCCTCGTATTCACTGGCCTTAGCGGCTCTTGCATAGCGTATTTTGACTAAATTCGAAAAAAATGGCTCCTCTTGTTATTTTAATTTCTGACCCCCCTGCGCTAGGCAGTGCAAAGGCCATATTTCAAAACGGCAAGATGGCAAGGTGGATTACAACGCAGGTGTTTGACGTGAACTTCCTCGTCAGAGGCCTAAGAAACAAGGGGGTCAACTGGCTTGCGATTTATGGCTCGGAGCCTCGGGCAAATCGCTCAACAAAAAAAACATGTTCAAAACTGATCCATCCAGCCCGACTGCCAAAAGAATATGGGCTGTAGCTAATGCGACTGTGAGAATACAGTGGAGAGAACTGTAGCCGAAGTACCTCGTGGCCCCAGGACATTCCCCAGTAAGCTGTTCTTGCTGTTGAAAGGGTAATTATCCTTACTCTTTGGTTCTATTGGGTAAAGTCACGTAGGTAACGTGACTTTGCCTACGTGACTTTACCCAATAGAACCAAAGAGTATGGATCCTTGCAGTCACGAAAGCTTTAAATCTAGATAATTATCCTCTTCGTGCCATCGGCTAACATTACCTCCCACCCACTTAGGCAGTCGGGTTTGCTGTGGCTTAATGTGTATTTATACATTTCTTCACTATTTATTTTCAGTTTTTCTCATTTTCTAGATTTGCATGACTGCATTGTCTTAGTTGATATAGTTATATATTTTTTAATTCTCGCATGCGTGACAATATTGTACATCAATGTGTAATCCTGTAATGCCATTGGTTTTTGTTTCACAATTGTTGAATGAAAATGTTGTTTTTAATCAACCTAGTTTCTGTACCATAAAAAAAAACCTTCAATTGTACAGAGTAATTGAGGTTCATACTGTTTATCTCATCATATGCAGGTGGAGTATATATTTAAATAACAATAGGCTTTTTTTTATCTTGATTTGAAGCTTTCGTGACTGCAGGAATCCATACTCTTTGGTTCTTCCGGTAAAGTCACGTGGGTAGAAAATTAATAGATCACGACGTTTCGATCACAACACAAGCTACCGTCTTCAGGTGAGAGAGAGAAAGCTACTAAAACAAGGTCTTACATTAGGCCTGAGATCGTTTTTGCTAACAGAGAAAGGCTTAAGTGTTTAGGCTGGCTGATCTTCGGCATAAAAAAAACATTTACCGTCAATAAATTGAATCCCTATTTTGATTCCAGTAACTTAAGAGATTGTAAATTAATATAGTGTATATAGTAAATAAAATAACAGTAAATGATGTTGTGCTTATTTTTCAAACATGACTATTTTTATGACCTGACTATAGGGGTTGAATACTGTGGTAACATCTGCAAGTCATGAACGCTGAATATAGGGACTCCACCCCCCATTGCCATAATAGCACAAGAGCAGCGGTTTCTTTAGGTTCAGGCTACACGTGTATTGTGATCGGACGAAGTTCACGTGCTCGATACGCGATGTTGTACTCTTACGCCCCGCAGTTGCATGACAACGCCGCCGTGCTTTGTGAACGTGCAGGCGGTGCATCCTAGAACGAGGTGTGTGTTGGGCGCTGCAGTTGCCGTGTGGGGGGACATGTCTCATTTCGATTTAAAGCTTTCGTGACTGCAAGGATTCATCTTCTTTGGTTCTTTCGGTAAAG